ATGCCGAGGGCTTGCGTCAACACAGGAGCTCAGTTACCATAATGCTCCTTTTAGCTCCGTGCACAGCGGACCTCTGCGTGGCACAGGGTGGCCTGGCCAGGGCTGGCCCCAGTGTGCACCTAGTACTGAGTCACTGAAGCTGGCAACTCTTCCGGGCCGGTGACTTTCCCGCTTTAGAGGCTGGCACTTCATAATTACAGCTGTGTTTCTGTTGTCATACCAAATTACCTCACTTACAACCTTAAAATAGAAGCCAGCCTCAAGGTGCTGGCTGCACAAACAAGGAGGGAGGCTTCACAAGACCCAGAACCTGGGTGCGGAGCCAGGAGGCAGGGCTCGAAGTCAGACACAAACGTCCTCCCGGTTAAAACCTATGTCTCCTCTCTTTTCTCCTCCTGGTGGAAACGGAGGAGCGCCATAAACTGTCTGTGTCCGAACGAGAAACGAGAAGGACCTTGGAGTTCCGTCTCTGTCATGGGGCCCCATTCATTTTACTTACTTACTGGATGGGCTCTACTCCCCTTGCCCTCACATCACTCTCCCCCTTGGCCACTCTGCTGTGTGCCTCGGAGCCTTCGGCAGACCCCATCACCCCACTCCCTCGCCCTCCGGCTGCCCGTTGGGTTAGGCTAATGGGAGCAGAAGATGGGAATTAGAAAGTGGGAGAGGAGAGAGGTCAAGGCATCTGTCTATTCCCCTGTTCCCCGCTAGGCTGTAGTTTGCCGTGGCTGCATCCTTCCACCTGGGCCACAGCTCCTGGCTGGCGGCTGCTCTGCTACAGGTCATTGCAAACAGTGGATTTCCTCCCCTTGTCCTGGGAGCCTAGGAGGTGTGTAGGAGTGTCCCAAAGCTGCTGTCCCCAAGTGCCACCAATTGGACCGTTGAAGACAAAAGAAGTGTGTTGTCTCCCAGTTCTGGAGGCTAGATGTCTGAAATCAAGGTGTTGGCAAGGCCACGCTCCCTCAGAAACACGTAGGGAAGAATCCTTCTTTGCCTCTTCTAGCTTCTGATGGTTGCCAACAGTCGTGGGCCTTCCTTGGCTTACAGGGGCATCCCTCCAATCTCCGTCTCCTTCCTCGCATGGCTGTCTTCTCCTTACTGTCTCTGTCTGTGTCTCCTCTTCTAAGGATACCAGTCCTATCGGCTAAAGGCCCACCCTAGTGACCTTATCTTAACTTGATTACATCTGCAAAGATCCTATTTCAAATTAAGATTACATTCACAGAAACTCGGGGCTAGGACTTCAAAATATCTTCTTGAAGGACATATTTCAGTCCACAACACGTGGTAACAGCCTCCACTGTGATGAGTCCCTGGACTAATCCCTTAACCCTTTCACTCCTTTATAAAGAGTCCCTTCATTAGACTCTTCGATTCCTTTTCAGAGAGTGCCACCTGTTTTCTGCCAGGACCTTGACGGAGACCCCTACTGCCTCACTGCCTTGCTGGTAGAGCACCTACAAAGTGCCAGAAGGTTCTAGGGATACAATGGTGAGCAAACACGAGCACAGTCCCTGCATTCATGGGGCTTATAGTCCACAGTTTAAGAGCCTTCATCAAAATATCACAAAGTAAAATTGCAACTGGGCTGAGATACAGAGGATCGGTTCACAGTGCTATGAACGTGCTTAACTGGGGGAATCACTCTAGTCAGGGAGGTCAGGAAGGGCTTCCCAGGGAGAGGGACACCTGCGCCAGAACGCAAAGGATGAATGGAGTCAACCAGATAAAGAAGGGAGATCTAGTCCCCCTTTTGGCTAAGGAAGAAGACGCCAGAAGAGTTATGTCATGGTGTCCATATTTCCTTCCATTGGGGGATCTATTTGCATTCATATCCCAATCCATCCACAAGTTACCCACCTCTCTGAGAAGACTTGACCCTGTCTCCCACCCTCACAGCTGCAGAGCCCAGCAGAGAATCCGGATGTTGAAGGGAGTGCTCGGAGAGTGAGAAGCCACTCCCAGGGCTCACAGGCAGCCCCAGTGAGCAGTACAGATGGTATGGCAGGGAGTGAGCGCCTAGAAACCAAGTAACACGAGGCCCAGCACACGAACTCAATACTTCCACACCGAAATCACAGCGTCCCTGAAACCAGCACCTCCTCCTTCTGTGCCCATAGTCTCAGCTGGGGACACCCCAGAACTTTCTTGTCTGCCCCCCTCTCCGCGCCTCAGCTCTCACTCTGAGGAATCACTGTGTGTTCCCAATTCTGCCTCTTCAGTCTTTCTCGAATCATGCCCTCCTCTCCTTCACCACTAGCTCCTGCCCTGATTCAGGTCCTTACCATCTTTCCCAAGAACTTTGCATCTACTCCCTCCTTGACTGGTCTCTACCCTATCAAACCCACCCTCCACAGCAAAGCCACCATAAACCTAGCCACCTCGCTCCCCTGGTGGCGGCCTCCAGGACTCCTTACTCCTGGCAGGAAACAGTCCAGGTGTGGCACAGAAGGCTCTCTATGACGGGGCCCTTCCTCCATAGCAGCCTGCCTCCCACTGCTGCCTGCTTCACCCTTGATCTTCCAACAAGGCCACCACTTTCAGTTCCATGTACACATCAAGTTGTCTCTCCCCTCTGTGCCATTTTTCAGGTTGTCCCCCCCCACCATCCCTTCCCCCACAACCTAATTAAATCCAACTCATCCCTAAAATATTAACTCCTCCAAGAAGCCTTCCCAGATAACCCTCCCCTCTCGTTTCCTACCATAGGGTCCTCCATCATTAAATCTAACATCGCATATTCTAAATAACTATGGAGGTGTCTATTTCCCCGATTAGAATAAAGAGCCTTGATGCCAGGGACCATGTCTCATTTGGTTTGACATGCCTACTGCCTGGCATGGAGTTGATGCTCAAAGACTAGAGGAATGAAGGACTGCATGACAAACAAGTGGGTGTTGACCGTGGTGCTTCTGCACCAGAGCCCTAAGAATGAATAGAATCCTCCCCCGCCTGTTACTCCCTAGTACATGGGCCCAGCCCAGCAGTCCCCCAGCTGCATCATGCTTCCCCTGTGTAGCTGCTTTACTGATGTCGTGTTTTCATCTCGGGCCCTGCCGGGTAGGATATGGGGGTACTTACCATTTAACAGTTGTGCGACCCTAGCCCTCGATCCTTTCTAAGCTTCAGTTTGCCATCTGTAAAACGGGCTCTATTATAGTATCCACTGAACAGAACTGCTATGAAAACTGAGTGAAATAAAATAAGGTATGTGGTCAGAACTCAGTAAATGCTTGGAGTAACTCAGCTGTAAGGTGACCAGAGCTGACAAGAAGTACAAAGGGAAGTACAGAGGCAAAAATGCCCTTGAAAATAGTTGCCTTAAGGAGCACATCCTCACCACCCCCTAAGTGTCCTTTGTATAATCAGTAACTCAGGGAAGCTCCACTGTTGTGGGTTTATTGTGCTGTCACAAAAGGCTTCCATTTGCTTGCCAGTCTTACCCGGTATACAAGACAAACAAGAAGAGCGGGGGGAAAATCGGTGCACTAGGCCAGGGTTTTCCAAGACTTCAGTGAGGCTCCTGGAGAAACGAGGCATTTCCCTCCTGCTGCCAAGTTGTAGTGGTGGGAGAGAAGGCCTAGTTCATCATCTTATGAAATGAAATTAGTTACAAACACATCCGTTCCCAGCCCAAATCCAAAAGCCAATCTTCAATGCAGCTTAGGAATTAGGAGGTGACAGTTTGGTGATTTGAGCCTACCTATGAAAAACCCCAGCACTGGAAGCCAAGAGTGTGATTTCTGGCCCTAGTTTCCCCATGGCCAGGCAGTCATGTCCATCTTCCCTCCCCAGCACTGCCTCACTCACAGAAGTGTTGGCAAGAGAACGGGGGGGAGCTGGAGCTTTCTCTGCTTCCGTATCAGTCAACAAATATTGGATGGGCAGCTAGAGTGCCCAATCCCATGCTAGGTCCTTTGGGTAATCTGTGCAGATTTAAAAAGGAAGTACACTGAATAGCAAAGGAAACCATCAACAAAATGAAAAGACAACCTACAGAATGGGAGAAAATATTTGCCAATCATATTCTGGTAAGGGAATAATATCCAAGATATATAAAGAACTCATACAAAAAAAAAAAAAAGAACTCATACAACTCAATAGCAAAAAAACAATCTGATTAAAAAAACAGGCAGAGGAACTGAACATTTTTCCAAAGAAGACATACAAATGACCAACAGGTATATGAAAAGGCACTCATCACCAGAGAAATGCAAATCAAAACCACAATGAGATATCACCTCACACCTGTTAGGCTGGCTAGCATCAAAAAAACCAAACAATTACAAGTGCTGGTGAGGATGTGAAAAAAAGGGGACCCTTGAGCACTGTGGGTGAGGACGTAAATTGGTGCAGCCACCATGGAAAACAATATGGAGGGCCCTCAAAAAATTAATAATAGAATTATCATATGATCCAACAATGCCTTCTGGGTATATATCCAAAGGAAATGAAATCCCTATCTCAAACTGACATCCGTACCCCATTTTCATTGCAGCATTATTTACAATAGCCAAGACATGGAAACAACCTAGCGTCCACTGACAGATGAATGGATAAAGAAGATGTTGTGTGTGTATACACAAACACACACACACACAATAGAATATTTTCAGCCATAGGAAAGAAGGAAATCATGCCATTTGGAACAACATGGGTGGAAGTTGAGGGCATTATGCTAAGTGAGATAAACCAGATAGAGAAAGACAAATACTAGATGATCTCACTTATATGTGGAATCTAAAAAAACCAAACTTAAAGGAACAGAGAACAGACTGATGGTAGCCAGAGGTAGAAGAAATGGGTGAAGGTGGGTCAAAGGTGCAAACTTCCAGTTATAAGATAAATATGTCCTGGAGATGTGATGTACATCATGGTTACTCCAACTAATAATACATGATTGTACATGTGACAGTTGCTAAGAAAGTAGATCTTATGTGAGGTGATAAATGTTAACTAAACTTACCGTGTTGCTTGGGCTACAGAACCCACCCTCTTACCTTCCAGCCTTGCTCCACCCAAGCAGTAGCCTCTGGTCACATGTGACTGTTGAATACTTAAAATGTGGCTGGTCTGAACCGAGATGTGCTGTGGGAAGTACACATTGGATTTCAAAGACCTGGTCTGAAAAAGAATCAAAAAAATCCTGTTGATATTTATATTGATTACACAGAGAAATTATATTCCAAATATATTTGGTTAAATGAAATGTATTATTACGATTGCTACAATACTGTTTCTTTTCACTTTTTTTTAACGGGGCCCCCAGAAAATTTGAAATTACGTTTGTGACTCATGTTATACATCTACAGGACAGGAGTGCAGTCTTGTACTATTAACCGCATAGCTTTTGGTGCCAGCATTAAATCAGTCGAGACAAGGAGAGGACCTAGCGCAGTGCCCAAAACAAATTAAGCACCAAGAGCTATTGTTAATATTAGTAAGATCAGTGGTTTTCAAATTTTATACTCAAGTTTGTTTTTCAAGCCAATTCTTGTAACATTTAAAAAAGGAGTTCTGGGGGCGCCTGGGTGGCTCAGTCGGTTAAGCGTCTGCCTTCAGCTCAAAAGAAAAAGCGTTCTGATCAAAGCAGAGAGAGCTTGGCATCTCCCCAGGGACCCATTCACCCTGGGCACCACCTCCACAGGTTGGAAACCCGCATGGTTAAGTCATCCTATAATGTCCTTGAAGCTCTAGCACCTTCAGAGAAGGTGAAGAGGTGATAGGAGACAAAAACCATGGTGTCTGTCTATGGCAGTCTTTAAAAATGATCATGAACCTCAAATGTTCTCACCAGAAAAAAGGAATGATAATCACGTGACATGATAGAGGTGCTAGCCAACACTCCAGTGGTCATATTGCAATACAGAAGTGCAGCAAATCGAATCAACACATTGTACACCTTAAGCCTACACAATGCTATATGTCAATTATATCTCGATAAAAGTTAATTAATGAATTACCCAAAACAAGATCATGGAAGAACACTACCGTTTTGCTTGGGAGAATCAAAGTGGTTTGGTCCCGGGTCTAGCTAGACACAGTCCAGCAACTGGGGTGTCATGAATGTGAATGGGAGGAGAGGGTCACTGTGGGTCCCCGGATCATTAGTGGCATATACAATACCCATGCACCACAGCGCTGTTCTACCTCTGCTCCTCACAACTGCTGACTCCCCATCCATCCACAACCTGGGGAAGGCTCTCGGAGCTGGCCCTAGGCACCAAGATGGCTAGGTCCAGCTCCGGGAAAGGGCAGCAAGTGATACTCAGCCCAGACACTACAATGACTCTGCTGTCCTAAAGGCAACTCCGGGCCGTCAGCCCCAGTTTCTGCCAACCAGGCCTCCCAGCTCTTCCAGCAGCCCTCGCCCCTGGCTCTGCTCTGTGTGTGTGTGTGTGTGTGTGTGTGTGTGTGGACGGGGACGGCAGCCAGCTCTCTAACAAGTTCCACGAGTCTGTTTGTTAAAGAAAAATTCCAGTGGGTCCATCCAACACATGGAACTCAAGTACAGAAATTATATTTATCCACCCCACTGCCAAGGAGATCACATGCCCCGTGAGTCACTCCAGATGTGCTCAAAAACAGAGTCTCTCTGTGGAAGCCCAGTCCCCCAATCCCGGAGAGAGTCGAATTAGCAGAGGTCCCAATTCCTGTCCCCCCCCACTCCCCCCCTCTTAGGAGGTTGCCTCTGCCTTCACCCTTCTGGGGCAGGAGAGGGCATCTGTGCATGTCTGTAAAGGGAACGGGGGTACGGACTACATCTTCGTGCCGGGAGGACCAGTGCGGGCATACCTGTAGCTCCCAAGATCCCACTGGGTTTGAGGACAACTTTTCACCTTTTTAGAGGAAAAGATGTGCTGGAAGACGCTGCTGCTTCTGCTGTTGTGTTATGATGCCCAGGCTGCTGTGTCCCACAGGTGGGGCAGGGGTGAGTTGCTTTCTATTTGTCTGTTGGATGCTCATTGCTCTTCCTTAAATACAACTAGGAATTTGGGGGAGAAAGAATAAGGTGGTGGAAGGAAATTAAAAACCCTGCACCAACCCCCCTCCTTTTATCTCCTCTCTGCCAATTGCTTGAAGCTTCTTGACATGTTAGAAGATGCTAGAAGCTGAGGAGGAATGGGACACTGAAAAATACCAAAGCCACTGAGGGAACTCGGTGGAGGTGAAGAATGCAGAGGGCATGCCTTTCTGACATGCCAGAGCTAAGTCATCTCTGCTTCCAAGAATGTGAGCAGACTCCCTTGAGCACCCCCCACCCCCCAGCTGCTGTAGCCCGGCAGGGCATGTGAAGAGCAGGTACCAGGACTGATGCTAGTATTGTGAGACTGTGGGTGCTGGGGTGCAAAAGGCCTGCTACAAGGGGTCCTGGGCATTGGCTGTCCACGTGGAGATCTCCATGCTGCTTCCAAGCAGGGGTGGACACATCTTTCCAGCTGGGGAGAGCTGGCCCAGTGGCAGGACAAGAAGAGTGATCCTTTAGCATTCACTCAGGTGTGTGTCAGACAGCTACTCCCACCTGCCCCGAGGTCCACCTCAGAAAGGATGGAGCCTGGCAAGGCTGTTCCCTCATGGCCGACTTCCTTTCCCCGGGACCCCATGGCATCTTTTCTCTATGCCCAGGACTGGCTCCAGTTGGCAGACACTGGTAGCATGTCCAGCCAATTAGAGTTGATCACTGCTGGGGACCGAGGGAGCAGCAGTGTGGACCACTCCGTGCAGAGCTCAACTCAACCCTCTCCGCTGCCTAAAATCAACTGAGGTCTCTCTCCCCAGAAGCACTGGAATAAGAAGTCAGGCTCATAGGTGTTTCTAGAGCTCCAAAAGAGGACGCAGACTGGCATGGCGGAAGGGGTGGGTGTGGGGCTGAGCCTCCAGGTTCTCAAGGAGAGTGTTGAGGAAAGAAGGGGCATTGAGTGTGAACCAGAGGTGCACAGAGCAAATGAATCTGATACGGGTGGGGAGCAAAAGCTATTCACGTATTTGAGTTTTATGCCCTCAGTTTTAAGCTTGAGATCAGTGATTTGCCAATTCTCTAAGCTGAGCTGTGAAATGATTGTTACCCAGAGGCAAATAATTAATGGAGCATTTTCCTTTTTTTCTGGGAACATCACACACACACACACACACACACCCTCCCTGCTCGTGATGTGCACAAACTTCGGAGACAACACTTAGGAGAGCAAAGAGACCTTGGCGTTACATTCGGCCACTTACCCTGTGTGCTACTGGGGGCCTTCCCTAATTTGCCTATTAGAAAAAGATGATAGGGCGCCTGGGTGGCTCAGATGGTTAAGCGTCTGCCTTCGGCTCAGGTCATGATCCCAGGGTCCTGGGATCGAGTCCCGCATCGGGCTCCCTGCTCCTTGGGAGCCTGCTTCTCCCTCTGCTTCTCTCTCTCTCTCTCTCTCTCTCTCTCTGTCTCTCATGAATAAATAAATAAAATCTTTAAAAAAAAAAAAAGAAAAAGAAAAAGATGATAATACCCACCCTCGCAATGCACAGGCTGTTAGAGAGCCAAGTGAGATCATTGGATTTGTAACAAGGCTGTAAACACCACAGCCACGTCGTGGGCAATCCTGTAAGAAATGCAAAGATTCAAGCTCTGCCTTTCATTGGCTGTGTGATGTCTGGCAAATCTCTTAACCTCTCTGAGCTTCGGCTCACTAACGAGTCACATATTAACAATAACAGAGCTTATCTCCACCGCGTGTGGTGAGGGTCATATTCAAAATGTAAATAAAATGTTTTGTAAACGGTGAAGAAGCTTATCACTGTGAATTATTACCTACCACCTAAACCAATGAAAAAAATTTCATTGAAGAAAGTTTGAGGTTCTCATTCCACAGAAGGTTCTATAGCAACATCCGGGGAGCTAGTGCTCTGCCCACCCCTCCCTGGAGAAGGTCAGCCCCTAAATAATAATAACAAATCTATCTAGAGACAGGAAGCCAGCACAGCTGGAACAGAGGCCATGATGAGGCAGCTTTGTTAAGTGCTAGATTAGTGGTTCCCGGCAGAGTCAACAAGAGATAGAGTCCCTCTAACTATCATCAAAAAGTCTTCCACGTAGTTGATTTTTTTTTTCATTTTTAACATTTTTTTCTAATTATAAGAGGAATACCCAATTGCCATTTTTTAAAGATGGAATGGGAGTCACACCCAAATAAAAAACAATTTTTCCGAATGTACTTAACTGTTCCCTTCGCCTTCATCCTTACCCCATCCCCCGCCCACCCCAGTGCCAGGCCTAATTTAGAAGAATTCCCTGTCGAAACAGCCAGCCACCTCTCCCTGCAGGGTCTTCCACCTCTACCTGCAAACCCCCCCTCCACGCCCCTCCAACCCCCTCCACCCCGCCTCTCTCCCCCCTCCCCGAAGCCCCAACCCCCAGCACCAGCACCCCGGTCCCCATCCTCCCCCACCCCCTGCCCCCAAGTGGAAATGTAGAAATCAACCCAAAAGGAACACACCCTGCTGTCAAGATGGCCTTTTTCCTACCATTCTCCGGGCCTCTCCCTAGAACCGCTCTCTAGGATTCAGCCTTGGGAGGCAGTTTTCCACGCCAGCCTGACCCAGCCCCACCAACTTCTTGGAGACCTGATGACTCACCTGTGGTTAGCTGGTGACTCACCTGTGGTCAGCCGGACACACCTGGCCCAAGCCCCCAGGTCCTGCCAGAACACCACTTGGGGGGCTAAGGAGAACTAACCGGTCTTTTTAAAAAAGAAAAAGAAAAAAAAAAAAGAAATGTATGCATTACATACTATAACTGTTTTTATTAAATACATGTCAATTGTTCTTTTTAAAAGCAGGTTAATAGGGAAGGATGGCCCTTCAGTTATCTGGCGGAATTTACGTCATTTTCAGGATTCCCTTTTAGTGCTGTGTGTGTTTTCAGGCATGAAGGGAAGGGCCCATGGTCAGTGTTCAGTATGTCCTAACAGGACTCGCGTAACTGAGCACAGCCCCGTAGCCCCAGTGACTCGGCGGGGAAGGTGCTCTTCTGACCACACACAGATAAGGACACTAGAGCATGGGCGAGCAGTCGAGGAGCCCAGATCATTCAGCCAGAAGGCTAGAGCTGGAGGTTGTCACCCACCCCACGTCTGTGGCATCAGAGTCCGGCTGCCCTCCCTCATCCCCTCCCCACCCCCCAGGTGCTCCCTGCTCCCCGTAGCCCTCTGGCCCTCTGGTGCTCCCAGAGGACCCCAACACACGGGGCCAAGATCCTGGCTCCCTCAGAATGTCACTGCGTTTCTGAAGGGCGGGCCCAGGAGCAGAAAAGTAAATGACATCCGTAAGATCTCACAAAAGATCTTTCATAAATGAGAGTTTTTCCTTTCCACACCCAAACCATTTCCATTGAGTTGCTTCAACTGCTTCGTTAAAAATATCGTGTATTTTGGCTTGATGCAGTGTGCAGTTCGAATCCTTTCCAACAAGCTCTTCGGTACAAATGCTGTGTACAGTTATGCGGGAACCAAGCTTAGCCTTACTACCATTCTGTTCTACCAAACATGTTTGGAAGATGGCGGGGTAGAAGATTTTTATCCCAGATTACAAAAGGTCAACGAGAAGGTCAGGCTTCAGAGCACAGACAGGCTCTTCCATTTAAGGAGATTTCTGTCTGTATGTCTGGGCAAGAAAGCTTGGACAAGCTAAGGTGTTGGGGAGACAGGCGCCCGCCTTGACTGAGAACATTAAAAGGGGCTTCTCTCGGGCAAGAATACAGGCTCCTCGGAGATAAAGGGAGGGGTGGTAGAGACAGGAGATCACATCTACATTTTGATAATTAGCCAGCACCTGGAACTAAGAGTAAGTTCTAGAATCCTCCTGTTAGAAAGAAGAATTTAGGGGCACCTGGGTGGTTCACTCAGTTAAGCATCTGACTCTTGATTTCGGTCTAGGTCTTGATCTCAGGGTCGTGAGTTCAAGCCCCACCTTGGGCTCCACACTGGGTGTGAAGCATATTAATAAAAGGGGGGTGGGAGGGGAGAGAAGGATTTAGTAAAGCACTCTGTTTGAAAAGAATGGGGTTTAGTGACAAGGGTAGTTAATGTGTTTCTATGGGATCATCTACTCCTTCGATAGTTGTGGGCAAGATGCTATGCACTGGGAATACAGCACCGAACAAAACAGACAAGATCCCACGCCCTCAGGGAGCTGACATCCTAGTGAGGGAAACAGACACAAACACAAATATAAATAAGACATCTGATTTGTTTGCTAACAATAAATTAGGGACAGAGTATAAAGGATTATACTTTTAAATAGAGAAATCAGGGAGGGTGTCCCTGAGGAGGTGATGAAAGGCCTGAAAGAAACATGGGAGTAAGCCATGCAATCGCTGGAGGAATTATTCCAGGCAAAGGAAAGAGAAGTGCAAAGGCCCTGTGGCAGAAGCATGCCTGGTATGCTCACATAGCAGTGAAGAGGCCTGTGGCTGGGGTGGCAGGAGTCTGCTTGAGATTCTCTCTCCCTTTCCCTCTACCTCTTCCCCTGCTCGCACATATTCTCTCTCTCTCTCTCACTCTCTCTCTCCCTCTCAAATAAATGAATAAATCTTTAAAAAAAAAAAAGGGGGGGGGTGCCTGGGTGGCTCAGTCGTTAAGCGTCTGCCTTCAGCTCAGGTCATGATCCCAGGGTCCTGGGATCGAGCCCCGCATCGGGCTCCTGCGCGGTGGGAAGCCTGCTTCTCCCTCTCCCACTCCCCCTACTTGTGTTCCTGCTCTTGCTATCTCTCTCTCTCTCTCTGTCAAATAAATAAATAAAATCTTAAAAAAAAAAAAAAAAAACAGAACAAGGGTGGGAACCAAGAATGGAAGCTAAGACAACTTTAGGAGAGGTGCTCAAGGCTTGAACCAGGAGTCTAGCAAGAAGTAGACGATTCCAGATATATTTTGAAGGCAGAGCCGGGAAGACTTGCTGATTGGTTGGATGTGCGATGTGAAAGAGAAAAATCGAGGATGACTCCAAGGTTTTTGGCCTGAGCAACTGAGAGAGATGGGGAAGACTATAGACAGCAGGATGGGTGTGTAGTGGGAGCAGTGCTCGTATGTGTGGGGTATGTGTGTTTGTGTGGTATGTACGGTGTGTGTGCATGTGTGTGTGGCATGGGTCTGGTTTGTGTGGGGGTATGGTGCATACATATGTGGAGTGTGTGTGTGTGTGGTATGTGGTATGTGTGTGGTGTGGTAGGAGTGTGTGCGGGGGTGCGTGTGTGTGCGGTGTGGCATGCGTCTGGTGTGTGTGTGTGGTATGTGTGCGTGGTGTGGTGTGGTGTGTGCATGTGTGTGCGTGGTGTGTGCGGTGTGACATGCGTCTGGTGTGTGTGTGTGTGTGTATATGGTGTGTGCCGTGTGCGTGGTGTGGTGTGTGTGTGTGTGTGGATGTGTGTGCGGTGTGGCATGCGTCTGGTGTGTGTGTGTATGTGGTATGTGTGCGTGGTGTGGTGTGTGCGTGTGTGTGTGCATGGTGTGTGCGGTGTGGCATGCGTCTGGGGGGTGTGGGGGAGGTATGTGTGCGTGGTGTGGTGTGTGCATGTGTGTGTGCGTGGTGTGTGCAGCGTGGCATGCGTCTGGGGTGTGTGTGTATGTGGTGTGTGCAGTGTGCGTGGTGTGGTGTGGTGTGTGCATGTGTGTGTGCGTGGTGTGTGCAGCGTGGCATGCGTCTGGGGTGTGTGTGTATGTGGTGTGCGCGGTGTGCGTGGTGTGGTGTGTGCGTGTGTGCATGTGTGTGCGGCGTGGAATGCGTCTGGGGGGTTTGTGTGTGTGTGGTATGTATGCGTGGTGTGGTGTGGTGTGTGCATGTGTGTGTGCACGTGGCATGCATCTGGGGGGTGTGTGTGTGGTATGTGTGCGTGGTGTGGTGTGGCATGCGTCTGGTGTGTGTGTGTATGTGGTGTGTGCAGTGTGCGTGGTGTGGTGTGGTGTGTGCGTGTGTGCATGTGTGTGCGGCGTGGAATGCGTCTGGGGTGTGTGTGTGTGGTATGTGTGCGTGGTGTGGTGTGTGCATGTGTGTGTGCGTGGTGTGTGCGGCGTGGCATGCGTCTGGGGGGGGTGTATGTGGTGTGTGCGGTGTGCGTGGTGTGGCGTGTGCATGTGTGTGCATGTGTGTGCGGCGTGGCATGCGTCTGGGGGGTGTGGGGGGGTATGTGTGCGTGGTGTGGTGTGGTGTGTGCATGTGTGTGTGCGTGGTGTATGCGGTGTGGCGTGCATCTGGTGTGTGTGTATATGTGGTGTGCGCGGTGTGCGTGGTGTGGTGTGTGCGTGTGTGCATGTGTGTGCGGCGTGGAATGCGTCTGGGGGGTTTGTGTGTGTGTGGTATGTATGCGTGGTGTGGTGTGGTGTGTGCATGTGTGTGTGCACGTGGCATGCATCTGGGGGGTGTGTGTGTGTGGTATGTGTGCGTGGTGTGGTGTGGCATGCGTCTGGTGTGTGTGTGTATGTGGTGTGTGCAGTGTGCGTGGTGTGGTGTGGTGTGTGCGTGTGTGCATGTGTGTGCGGCGTGGAATGCGTCTGGGGTGTGTGTGTGTGGTATGTGTGCGTGGTGTGGTGTGTGCATGTGTGTGTGCGTGGTGTGTGCGGCGTGGCATGCGTCTGGGGGGGGTGTATGTGGTGTGTGCGGTGTGCGTGGTGTGGCGTGTGCATGTGTGTGCATGTGTGTGCGGCGTGGCATGCGTCTGGGGGGTGTGGGGGGGTATGTGTGCGTGGTGTGGTGTGGTGTGTGCATGTGTGTGTGCGTGGTGTATGCGGTGTGGCGTGCATCTGGTGTGTGTGTATATGTGGTGTGCGCGGTGTGCGTGGTGTGGTGTGTGCGTGTGTGCATGTGTGTGCGGCGTGGAATGCGTCTGGGGGGTTTGTGTGTGTGTGGTATGTATGCGTGGTGTGGTGTGGTGTGTGCATGTGTGTGTGCACGTGGCATGCATCTGGGGGGTGTGTGTGTGTGGTATGTGTGCGTGGTGTGGTGTGGCATGCGTCTGGTGTGTGTGTGTATGTGGTGTGTGCAGTGTGCGTGGTGTGGTGTGGTGTGTGCGTGTGTGCATGTGTGTGCGGCGTGGAATGCGTCTGGGGTGTGTGTGTGTGGTATGTGTGCGTGGTGTGGTGTGTGCATGTGTGTGTGCGTGGTGTGTGCGGCGTGGCATGCGTCTGGGGGGGGTGTATGTGGTGTGTGCGGTGTGCGTGGTGTGGCGTGTGCATGTGTGTGCATGTGTGTGCGGCGTGGCATGCGTCTGGGGGGTGTGGGGGGGTATGTGTGCGTGGTGTGTGCGTGCGTGCGTGCGCGCGTCCGCGCGCGCGCGCGCGCTGGCGTCGGCCCAGGTGCAGGTCAGGAGAGGCAGCTCTCACAGGCCGGCAAGGCGATGCGCGCCGGCGGCTGGGTGGCCGGCCGTGGGGTCTGGAGGGCGAGGCCGCAAGTCTGCAGGGCCGCGGTGAGGCCCGAAGCGAGGAGAGAGCGGGGATGAGGGGGGCTCGGCCGCGGGAAGAGGCAGGCGGGAAGGAAGAGCCGCCTGTACAGAGGGCTTTATGCTTCTCGGACAGAACAAGTGTTGGTGCTGATGTGGAAGACCCAGGAGCGAGGGGGGGGGAAGACCCAGGAGCGGGGGGGGGGGGATGGAAGACCCAGGAGCGGGGGGGGGATGGAAGACCCAGGAGCGAGGGGGGGGGATGGAAGACCCAGGAGCGAGGGGGGGGGGATGGAAGACCCAGGAGCGAGGGGGGGGGGGATGGAAGACCCAGGAGCGAGGGGGGGGAAGACCCAGGAGCGAGGGGGGGGATGGAAGACCCAGGAGCGAGGGGGGGGGGATGGAAGACCCAGGAGCGAGGGGGGGGGGGATGGAAGACCCAGGAGCGAGGGGGGGGGGGATGGAAGACCCAGGAGCGAGGGGGGGGAAGACCCAGGAGCGAGGGGGGGGGAAGACCCAGGAGCGGGGGGGGGGGATGGAAGACCCAGGAGCGAGGGGGGGGGAAGACCCAGGAGCGAGGGGGGGGGGGATGGAAGACCCAGGAGCGAGGGGGGGGGATGGAAGACCCAGGAGCGGGGGGGGGGGATGGAAGACCCAGGAGCGAGGGGGGGGGATGGAAGACCCAGGAGCGAGGGGGGGGGGATGGAAGACCCAGGAGCGAGGGGGGATGGAAGACGCGGGAGAGAAAAGAGAACGGGTGGAGAGCTGCGTGCCATCTCCACGGACGCGGCGCTCGCACGCGGGGGAGGTCGGCTCCGGACGGGCGCACGGGCACAACAGCGAAGTCCCGAGTGTGCGGACAAGACGCAGGCAGCTTTAAGGAAAGACTAGAAGGTGTGAAACCAAGTGGGAGGAACCAGGAAATCCGGAGCGTGGTCGGGCAGCATGGAAAGGCCCCTGTGAGCCGAACGACCGTGAACTCACGATGAGAGCACGTGACACGGTTGTGTTTTCCTCCGGCCACATCCGGGGGCACAGGTGCAGCAGGGGACACGGGCGGAGATGCGCTGTGACTTTGCCAAGGGATTGCAGAGAACAAAGAGGGAGCAAAGGAGTTGAGGGTCTATGTAGGAGAGTGATCGCAGGGCTGTAGTAATGTGACCTTGCGTATCACAGGATTATAAATCAAAGTTAGAGAATTTTTTAAAATTCTGTGTGTGGTAAGGGGCGCCTGGGTGGCACCGTCGGTTAAGCGGCTGACTGGAGTTCAGCTCAGGTCATGATCTCAGGGTCGTGAGATCGAGCCCTGCATTGGGTTCTGCGCTGGGCGTGCAGCCTGCTTAAAATTCTCTCTCTCCCTCTTCCTCTGTCCCTCCCCCCACTCACGCACACTCTTTCTCTCTAAAAAAAGAAAAAATTATGTGTGATTCATTTCAGAATATGTCTTATACCAAATGCATTCATTCATAATTAACTGCACTATCTTTCCTGAGCCCAGTCTTCGGGGCGATACACCTGCAAAAAGATAGCATTGTTCTCCCTATCGGTGAGATAGGGTCTGGGAGCCTGCGAGGTCTGGATTTTATCTCAGTCCTACGGCAAACAAATTGGGTGGCCTAGGGCAAGTTTCTTAACCTGCACGTTTCTTCATCTGTGAAATGGCATGTTAGTACTCACCTCACAAGGTGCGTACGGAAAGCACAGAGCACGTCGACTAGCCCACAGTGGGCTCATGCACCTTTACGGTATCTGAGCTTCACATTTTAACAACTTTGGTCTGCGGTCCGAACGCGTCTCTCAGCAGAAGATATGGACAGAACATGCCGTAATACAGACTCTCGAATCTCTGGATCCAGTACCCGGACTGGATTAGTGAACATGCATGACCTTTAGCAAGAAAATCCTTTGTTCTATGCTGGTCTGTCCGATATATCATAGACCCTCAATGTCCCCCCCACAAGGCTCATATGGCCAGGGAGTCGCGGATGAGGGGAGAAGCTTACGGTCTCCCTGCCCCGAGACCAGCCTTGCAGCAGACCTTCGTGCTAGGAGACATGGAAGCCTCTGATGTCCCCTGGTCACACTGAGCGGTCCTCATGGGCACATTCACGTCCTGAAGAAATAGCTGGAGGGCAGGCTGGCTGCAGAGTATTGAGAGGAGAAGAAGAAAACAAATTGGCCCAGTTTTACATCAAGCAAGAGGCACATGAAGTCAGTGATTTCGACAAACCTGTCCCAGTAGCCTTCTTGCTTGAGGCTCCATGCTCGGGTGGGGTCTTTCTGCCCGTCTCTGGCCTCCCACACTGTCCCCGCTGTCCCCTCTCTCCGCAAAGGTGCCATCGCTAATAGCCATCCAGTGGGGAGCCCTCAGGTCTCCCTCCCATCAGCCTGGTGGAGGCCGTGCTGCCCCAGATGAGCAGGCAGTCAAGCTTATGATGACCTCCATCAAGGTAGGTGATGAGCTGGCAGGACAGGAAAACCTCAGCAAAGCCTGAAGAGTCTGCACAGCTGTTTTGGTTTGGTGAGGTTTTTAAAAATCCCTGGCTCATCTTTATTTCTATTTAAGATTTTTTTCTTAAGATTTTATTCATTTATTTGACAGAGAGAGAGAGAGCACAAGCAAGGGGAGCAGCGGAGGGAGAGGGAGAAGCAGGCTTCCCGCTGAGCAAAGAGCCCGATGTGGGACTCGATCCCGGGACTCCAGGATCATGACCTGAGCCAAAGGCAGACGCTTAACCCACTGAGCCACCCAGGCGCCCCCAAAATCCCTGGCTCATCTTTAAAATCATCCCCACATATATATTGAGCCTTCCCTTGAAGCCCAGTGTTACGCAGACATTGAGGTCAAGCAGGGGGAGCATGAACTTCCTCCCTCGCTCCCAGGAGCCGGCCACCCTGACGAACGCTTTCAGGGTGACAGACAGCAAGATGGGAAATGTGGAGACAGGACGCAGAGGGCATACGGAGCTGGAGAAAGGACACCGGTGGCCAGCAGGGTTGCAGGAAAGGCTTCCTGGGGGAGCGTGTCTAACCACACGGGAGCAGGTCTAGCTTAAAGCTTCGCTCATACATGCCTCTGGGAGCTGGTCAGCTCTCGTGTGGGCCATTTGCCTTTCTGGCAGGGTCCAGCCTTCCCTGTCGCAGACAAGAACATCGGGAGTGACTGTATATTTAACCTTTTATCCAAATGTTTTGCCGAGGACCAGACATAGCTTATTTCCCGCCCCACCCCGCCCCGCTCCAGCATCTCTGCAAAGGTGAATCTATCCCTCTCCAGGCCTTGCCTTCTTTTCAGAGAGTCAGACCCCGGCCTCTCAGATGTCTGGCCAGGGGCCAGCTGTATTTCCACACCCAGGGTGGTAGAAAAGCACCTGCTGGATACACCATCCAAGCAGCCCCAGCAACGGGTGGGGCTCCGGCAGAAGGTGGTGGAAGCATGCGGAGCAGGAGAACAAGGGGGGAGGTTGTCCATCTTTCAGATTTCTGTGCCCCCCACACATACACTTTCTGGGGCAATGATCAGTCTCCTGGTCCAGAGGCTGAAGCTATTTCTAACCATCTTCCCCAAACTGTGTTACCATTTTTAAAAAGAATCAGAACAAGGGCTCTTGGAAACAACAGTGTTTTCATGATTAAGCTGAGCTTTGAATCCAGAAGTATTTTCTTCCCCATTCTTTGAGAACTCAAGGTCCACTTGGGATGTGTGTGTTAAAGGAGTGTTGGTGTTCACAGGGAGACAGTTCAGCTGTGAAGAACTTTCCGGAAGGCAGCCATCCCAAGTCTGAGAAGACAGGAAGCAGAAAGGGCTCCATGCCCAGGGCATTCATTCCCTCCTATCCCCTTCACCTACTGAGGTGTGAATTTTTTTAAGGGAACAATACCTGTAATTTCACAATAAGAATGGAATCCAGGGACAAGAATTAAAGAAGTAAAGTTGCTCTTGGATCCTATCCTGAGAATGGGATTTCATCCACCCTTTCATAGTAAGAAGAGAAAAAGGGCACACAGAAAGAAGCAGGTCACATCTCGGTCTAAAACCAGGTCTGATCCTGGTGTCATCTCCCACCAAAGAGAAATTGGAGTCAAAGTACGCACCCCCTTTGTGCCTCTACTCGTTTGTCTCCAAGAACATGATGGCCCTGGTCTCTTCAGATGACCCCTCAGATGGGAGTGGGGTTCACCTCATAGCAGGGTGCCCGCTGCTTGGCTGTGGGTCTGGATAACCCAATGCCTGCCCACTGTAATGACCTGGAAGCTGTAAAAAGTCCCATTGCCTACATCCACCCCAGGGAGAGGCCCATGAGTTGGCCTGGGAGCTGGCCTTGGGCATTCGGGATTTTCCAAGCTCCCAGGTGATCCGGATGTCCGGTCAAGGGTGACAACCGCTGGGTTACCCTAAGAGTGGCCATATGGCCGGGGCAGCTCCTTCTCCACAACGTCAGGTCAAGCACCCTCTGATTCTCAACCTCGGCTGCCATTAGAAGCTGCCATAAGAAGCCTAGGAAGCTTTGAAAAAAACTCTTCCTGTCCCATGTGCACCCCACTCAGTTAAATCAGCTGGGACCCATGCATCAGCCCCTTGGGTCAAGGTTGCAAATCAGTGGAGCAGGGGATGCCTCCCTCCACCTGAGACTGTAGGCAGAGGCAATGAGTGAACAGAGGCCAAGGCCTTCTCAAGACCTAAAATCTATGATTCTGTGGGAAGTTGGCACTTTCCTGGCAAAGAAAACAAATTTTGCTAAACTGCTGGGCTAGGAACTATTGCTCAGCAATTTATAGGCTCCTTCCCCCAAAATGCTCTGGGAAAGCAGAGTTGGTCACTCTGCCCGTCAAGGCTTCCTTAAGTGCAGGGATTTGGTCAGCCTGCCAGGCTCTGCTGGGGTAGAGAAACACGAAACCGTATATATCCCAGCCCGGGAGGAACCTGTGGTATAGATAATAAATGAGTTACAGAGTAAACAGTATTATAGCAATACAATATCCAGCCAGCTTTTTCCAGGAAGTAGGAGATGCCCACCAGTGGGCTTTTCAGGAAATGTCCTTTACACTGAAGATGTCTCACTTGTATCACTTCCGATTGAAAACCTTCTACAATGCTTAGGCAGCGCCCTGCCTTCTTTAACCAGAGTACACTGGACATCACTAGACTCTTTGTTGGTGGTTCCAAGGGCACCATTATCAAGAAGGAGAACTGTCGTGTATGGTTGTACAACTTGTGGTTTGCACAACTTCAGGGGGCGCTACTTACCTCCAAGTCTCTTGGATTTTTACAGTTCGTTGCCCAGGCTTCTGGCAGATCACATTCAAGTGTCTTGAAGAAGATGCATCTTTCTTTATCAGCCGGCAGCAGGGGGACCAATCCCTTCTGCACAGTGCCCTGGTACAAGGTGGGGCTGGGCTGAACGGGGCTGTCTGCTCCTACCCAACACGGTCCTGGAGAACGGCAGTTTGTCCCGGTTATTCCCATACTCTAATAGTTGGTCTCCTCCTTCACCTTCCTCTGTCAGTTCCCAATTCTGCTACGCCCTCTACCTCTAGCAGCTCATCCATCTTCCTCCAGCTACAACTTCTAAATGCAGTCCCCAAGGAATAACACTGACAAGTCATTGACTTCATACCAAATGCATCTCTAAGTCAGCCAGCCCTTGGGGGAAGCGCTGACCTTGGCTCACCACACCCCTGGGGCCAAGCGTCAGGGTCTCGTGGCAGCTCCTTTCCCGCACTTTGTCACCGGTATTCAGATTCTTGGCGGCTGTATCTCAGATGGCCGGGGACTAGCCAGAAGTCTGATCCTCTCATTAAAAGGGTTGTCAATAAATATAAACCAGCCCTTCCTATTGATAAAGGGAGCAGTATTATTAGAGAACTCATCTGTTGAATTGGGGCAGGGGGAGGGCTGTCAGTTTGCTCATTTCTGTTTTATTTTGTTCTATGTAAATTCTCTAGGATATACATACCCCTAGACATGCATATTTTTCAAAACTTTCTGGGATGATTCTGATGAGCAGCCAGGTTTGAAGTTGCTGGTCTGAAATAGTAATGTCTGACATGCCTGGGAGCTCTCGGGGACAAACCAGAGTCATCTGTCACCTCTCGCCGCTTCACGTCTACCGCCACCTGGAGTCAGTCACTCTCTGGACTGGCTGGCCGGCCTCCAGGCCATGTGCACAGCGCAGCCCCTCCAGCTAACTCTGGTTTCTTGCAGCCGTGCTGTTTCCTGCTGCTCATCGGCCAAAGAGATCCTCATCAATGCCCTTGAACCCCGTCCTGCAGAACTCCCTGGAGGAAGTCGAACTGCTCTATGAGGTAGGCAGAAGGGAAAGTGGTCAATTCAAGGCCTTCTCTGTGTTTTTTGGAGAAGGGACCTAAGCGCCAGAGGGACTGGTCTAGACTACTTGGCGGATTCATCCCGTCCCGCCCATCCCAGAGCCAGGTCTTCCTCGTATCTCCTCCCCTCTCCCACACGCCATGACACGGAAGGATGGCATCGGGAGTTCAGTCAAGGCAAAATCAGAGATTTCCGTTTGGCCCCAAGGTGCCACGGCCAGCACCCGAGCAGCAGAGTCGGGCAACATTCCCAAGCAGAGGTTTTTTTGTTGTTGTTGATTTTGGTTTTTTTAAAGATTTTATTTATTTACTTGACAGAGAGAGAGTTAGCGAGAGCAAGAACACAAGCAGGGGGAGTGGGAGAGGGAGAAGCAGGCTTCCCGCCGAGCAGGGAGCCCGATGCGGGGCTTGATCCCAGGACCCCGGGATCATGACCTGAGCCGAAGGCAGACGCTTAACGACTGAGCCACCCAGGCGCCCCCCAAGCAGAGGTTTTGAGGCAGGACTGGTCAGGAGTGCTCGGGCAATGCCACGCCAGGTGTCTGAGCTG